TGTCTTACTAACATACAGTGAAATTTCTTTAAAAACTGCAAAGTAAAGGGAAGGTCCATGCAAAAATGAAAATTCTGTCATAACTTACTAACCCTCATGTTGTTCAAAATCTGTATGCATTTCTTTCTTCTGCAGAACATAGAACATATTATGAAGAATATTATAGAAACCAGTTTCCCATTGACTAAAATTGTAAGGACAAAAAAATCAATGGAAGTCAATGAGAAATTAACATTCTTCAAAATCTTTTTTCATGTTCCACAGGAAGAAATCACACTGGTTTGGAACAACACAAGGGGAAGTAAATAATGATAGAATTTCAAAACATTTAAAAACCTAGTAAAAACCTAATAATGTAAAATCCTAATAATGTATTTGTTGTAAATTTTGATGTAAGGAAACCATGTTCAAATATATACCTTTTTTGACATAAATAATTTTGACATAATAATGTATTTATGGTGGGGCCAGCAGGAAAAATTCTTATTGTTGAGCCCCTGAATGTAAAATGTTAAAAGTGCAAACAGCAAACAAAGGCAAATGATGACTTACAGCAGCAGCACAACAGAGAACAACATCATTAGTTTGAGCCCATTCTAATTTAAAGGCAGCTTTGTGAATATTTGTTGTGATTCAAAAAAGAGCAAAAAGTTAGTGTATAGGTTTGACCTTATAACCCTGTAAAAATAGATACTAGATACTCTAAATATTCAGTTGCAAGCATGGGCAACACAAAAAAGCATTTACAGTACAGACACACGTACAAAAACACACATATTTAACACACATGCACTCAAATACACGTTACACAGCACTACAAGTTGACAATACTATCAGCCACCAACAAAAAAAAAGTACCTTTGTTATACATTTAAATGTGTAGAAACGGGTCTTCCACCCATTCGTGTACAACAAACAGACTTATAGAGCATTATCAAGAAGTGGGAGGGGTGTTCTGGGCCATGCACACAGTGGTTGGAACACCACGATTCATGACACACACAGAATCTGCAGGCGGTTTGTGCCGGCCCTGCCGAGAAGCCTCTACAGACATGAAAAAGAAGAGAGACAACAGACGAGTTATTACCCAGACACCTATAGAACAAAGATGGGTGACGAGGGTGCAGGATGGCGTGCGAGCCAGCGCAGAGGAGAGATGGAAGGGTTCAGGAGTAGGAGGAAGGGATGAAAGGAGAGCAGAGGGTGACGTTAAGGCAGTCTGCTAGCAAGCACGTTTAGCAGGCGTAAGGCAGGCTTTAGCATCATACCTCATTGAGCAGAGTGTATGTCGACACCACTTTTTCAAAACTTCAGCTTGTTCACAGCATGCAGGTGTTTCACTGTTTCCTTCAAATGTTAATGGTTTAATTCATCACCATGCTCATCAGTGCAGTCTGCCATGCTGCTCCACCTGGAGACGTATTTTCTTTTTCTTTTTACTCGCATCAAAGACCTTCCAATTCAGCTCTTTGTGCCTGTCGACTTCAGGTCAAAGAGAGTATTGGTACATCATCCAGTGAGAGAAACAAGAAATAAAACAAACATTCCACTGCAATCAATGAAAAAAAAAAAACTAAAAAACAAGCACTCTAACAGGTTTCATAGAAAATTTATTTCATGCTATGGCTGTAGTCATCTTTTTCTGTTTTTCTATGCAGTTATTGTTGCATAACATAGTGCATGCATTTGTTTTTCCCCAAAGTTAGCTAAATTGCATACAATTCTCTTATAATGTAAATATACATTTCTTTGTGTCTTAGTACCTAAAAGTAATGAGAGAAAATGTAAAACATCTCGACAGGATGCCGATTTTCTCATTTTTTATATTTTTTTCTCCAAAAATAACACTGTTAAAAGTCTGCACTTGATATGTGAAATAAACAGTTGTTCACAACAGTTTCCACAGGATCTATTCACCAAAACGTAAGACATAAAACAGAAAAATAACTCGGATTTTGCTCAGTTTTTTTTTTCTTCTCTCTATAAGATCCAGAATCACAAGCATGCCAGACAGAAACAAAGTTGAAAAGTGGAATTTACAATCTATCTCACGGCAGTAACCACTAGCGTCTCATTCAGAATTTGAGGTCAATGTGACCAGAGCTGAGTCATGTGGTTAACAACAAAGACAGAATGAAGAAATCAGTTGCTGAAATAAAGAACATGGTCTCTGAACATCTCATTAGCCATGGCTACATGTCAATTCTGCAAAAGTCAAGAACTCTTGAAAGAAAATATTTGTTTTGTACAGACATATTCATAACAGATATAGAATATTTTCCTCTTTTTTAATGTAACACCATGCAGCTCATGCTAAAATGAACAGGTAAGAGTCCACTACATCTGTAACTGCAGGTACTATCATTAGTATTATGGTTATAAAACTCCTTTTGCTGGCTTTAAAGCCATTCACATTGCACTCTTCAGTCGATGGTCCTTTAGGTCTTCCTTAAAAAAAGTCCTGGTCCATGAGATTCCTCACACAGCTGGAATCTGGATAAAACCGCTTGCCACTGTGCCGAATAACCACATCCTCTATTGTGCTCTCTTTCTCTCTACATATACGTCCCTCCTTTGGACTTCAGCCTGAAATTCCTCTGGCCATTGTGGAGTCCAGCAGGGCTGGAGAAGGGAAACCAAGGTTTTGAAATCCTGCTGCCTTCTCAGGTCACTTTGAGCACCTCTGACTGCATATACTTAACTAGGGCAGTTTCCTCTTTGCAGGGATCTGCAGTAGAAAATACAGGGGAGGATGGGATTGCTCAGGGTCATCCTGCCATTGGGCCTTGTTTTCATTCAGCTCACATAATGAGGAGGAAATGGGCTGAGAAAATAAGACTTCCTTTTTGTCTGAATTGTAAAAATGTTCATTTGGGTTGCTTTGGCAATCCAGGGCTAAAGAGGTCGGAGAAAGAGAGATGGACAGAAATGCACAGGGAGAATGAAAGAAGTGCTGTAGACAGCGAGAAAGAGAGTCCTGATACCTCCTACCTGGGGTCTTGATAATGAGGTGATGAAGAAAGAACGGAGGAAGACTCCGCCGGAGCAAAGGGGAAGTACAGTAAAAATTAACCAGCGAAACTAAACAAAAAAGAAACCGATAAAAAGCTATTGTTTCATCTTCCATGTGTCTGAAAGGGTTTTATGTTAGAATATACAGGATTTAGAAGTAAATATTCATGGTAAATCCTTAAAAAAATATCATTATTTCTAACCTTTGAAGGGAGCACGCAAGTCTTTCCAGTTCTGAAGTGGTTCCCGGAACAATAACGTGCTCTGAAAGAAAGGTTTACCTTTCTCATGCCAGTTCTTTTATTGTGTCTGATAAACACTCACAACTAGGGAATCCTTAAAATTTTCCCTGAGATCATTTGTAGGTTTTCTTTCTCTCTGATGGCTTTGTATGTGTTGAGAGTTGGAGTCCTGATACGTCCTACCTGGGGTCTTGACAAGGAGGTGATGAAGAAAGAACGGAGGAAGACTCCGCCGGAGCAAAGGGGAAGTACAGTAAAAATTAACCAGCGAAACTAAACAAAAAAGAAACCGATAAAAAGCTATTGTTTCATCTTCCATGTGTCTGAAAGGGTTTTATGTGAGAATATACAGGATTTAGAAGTAAATATTCATGGTAAATCCTTAAAAAATATCATTATTTCTAACCTTTGAAGGGAGCACGCAAGTCTTTCCAGTTCTGAAGTGGTTCCCGGAACAATAACGTGCTCTGAAAGAAAGGTTTACCTTTCTCATGCCAGTTCTTTTATTGTGTCTGATAAACACTCACAACTAGGGAATCCTTAAAATTTTCCCTGAGATCATTTGTAGGTTTTCTTTCTCTCTGATGGCTTTGTATGTGTTGAGAGTTGGTACATAAAGACAAGAAACAAGCAAAACGGACGGAAGAGGAAAAGCAGGAGGGGAAGAGACAAAAACACGGCTCCAGAAAACAAGGACCAGAGAACAAGACCAAATCAACCAGCGCAGCTAACAGAAGGCAGCAGAGCAGGAGGAAGACCCAGGGAGACAGCTCTAACTACACAACTGCTCCATTTCTTAGAGAATGGAGGGGATTGGAGAATGGGACCGCTGCAGGAAAACAGGTGGGCCGCAGGACCCAGTGGACATCGATACCACCTCGGCTAGCGTTCGGGCCTTGCTGGTTATGGTGCCCAGGCTCCGGGACTTTTGATAACCTTGGTTTAGTGGAGAGAAATGTGCACATGGCAGTTGCTGAGACAAAAAGGTCAGTTTGCTCCACACCATGTTTGCTGCTATGGGTCAGGTTTAAAGGGTTTAATATCGCATGCAATCTCTGGGATGGCATGCACAAAGATCGGTTGGTTAATCTGGCATTAGAGCGAGCAAGAAGGCTGTGGATTGCAAGGCAAAAGTTACAAATAGAATTTAGATGTTCACAGATTTGTTAAACTAGAAATTTAAATTAACTGGTAAATTTGAAATTAAGGCAATCGAGAATCCAGTCCAATCCTCAGTTTTAGGCACTTTTTTCCATAGTCTCTATATGACTTGCACCATCATTTTGACAAGAAACACGTTTTAAGTGTATGCACAATGAAAAAGGAAAGTCTCTGCTTTCAAATAATATAATTATGTTTCCAAACAGTTAAATGGTTACTGTCATAAAAACATATACTTAAAACACATACTTTTTTTTAAAGGAAATTAATTCAAACAAATAATAAATACTAACTTAGGATGTCATGAAAACAGTTTAAGAAAAAATAAAATGCACTTATATTATAATGCATATATTTAACAATATATATTTACGAGTTAACAACAATTTAATTTATTTAAAACATGTTATTTTTTTCTAGCATCATTAGGTGAAACAAGCCATTTTATTGGCATCTTTCCCAGGTTTAAAAATGTATTGGACAATTACTTGAGGGATGATACTAATAAGTTGTACTGTATCAAAATACCCTCTGATGTACAGTAATTTTCACTCAGCTTTTTCATGCAACTATTAAAAAGGAAGAGGTGATCAATTCATGTGCCTTTCTGCGTTGCCGTCAGAACTGAGGCAAGTGCAAATTGTTTGAATTTCATAATAAAACTGACATCATTTGAAAGCAGAGACTCAGTTTTATTAAAAACAACAAAACAAAACTTTTTTTGGGGTTATCACATTTCTCCTCTAATGGCTTATTGGGACTTTCGACTCAAAATGAAAGAGCATGTCACATATGTCAGTGGCGTATCTACACCAACTCATTATATTCTTTGCCTGTGTGCAAAACCAAGTCTTTACTTTCTCATCCAATACCACACAGGCATCAGGACAGATTGTGGCCGCAGGACTGCCCCAACACATGCACAACATAATGCTACAGGAAAAAAAGAACAGTGCACTCTGAAGCACTGCATGCACACACACACACATACAAACATCTCTCAAAACACTCATAAATTTGCACAAACACATACAGTAAAACACACAAAGACAAAAAAACAAAAACATATTGGTTGGGAACAGTGTGTGTAGTTCTGCTTAGTGATGATGTTGACCATCTTGTGGTACTTTTGGCTGTGAGTAAGATCTGGAGTCAAACAGAGCATGCTCACACAGAGCAACATGTCATAAGACACAGACAGACAGCGCTATTAGTTAGAAAATGATCACCACAAATTGGTAGATGGTAGCAGGATATTCTTTTGAATGTGATCAGAAATGACCGGTTTATGTTGTTGCTGTCAGTGGTGTTTATTGTGGAAAGGTAATTTTTTTTTTTAGGTGTGATCCGAAGTCTATTCATACAGCAGGGGTCAGGGGTCAAACTAGAACAGGTGTGAGATAACATGAACGTGTGTTGGTTTTTATATCACTACATTTGCTGACGTTAATTGACAGCCTGTAAAGCTACATAGCGTGTAGGGGCCTTTTATTTATCTAAGGCTGCTGTGGGCGGTTTGAACGTATGATAGCGAAACAGGGATGGATCTCAGGTGGTGACCCTGGCATGGCCATCTTCTGGGCTGTGCGCCCAGCCTAGCTGCAGCAGTGGGTAACCCTGTGTGCCATGCGTCGGGCCGGCTGGCTCCGCCCCTGACCTCCCTGAGAACATTCCGGCTAGCATAAGACGGGAGAGAGGGAGAGATGGAAGGAGGTACAAACATAGAAACGCACCATAGGCATGTACAGTGGTGGAAGAAACAAGTAAAAAACAAACAAACAACAAAGAAAAACAGAAAAAAGGGAAGATTAAGGTTGGCCCCAGGAGGCAGCTGTATGTGTGTTAATATGAATTTGACATAATGCAGCGTGGTGTGAAAAAACTTATTTACAATATGTTAAAAGAGAAGAGGTTTGGCGAAATGTGACTTGTGGAAGGATCTGAGCGTGCAGGGAAGGGTCTTTATTCTGATACTCCCTGTCTCATTTTATTTACATATGAAAAATGTTGACATTAGTGTTTTAAAAAATAATAAAAGAACTAATGGAAGTGAAACTTTTTAGCCCATTTAAGTAATCTGACTAAAATCGGAGATGGCTGAGGTGGACATTTAAGTAGAAATTTTGTCTCATTTGTGATTAAACTGCAGTTATTAAACTGCATCATTATAAACTGTCTGTTGTGGGCGCGCTCTGCTCTGTAGTTATTTACTGTGTAATGCACCTAATATATACATATGTGTGAGTGTGTGTGAGTGTGTGTGTGTGTGTGTGTGTGTTTATGTATGTCAAAATAGCCTCACACAGTGGTTACATACCCTTCCTCACTCGGGTGCCCGTGTTTGTGGATCGTCCTCCGACGTTTAGCAGAAAACACGGAGTGTCTCCCCGCGGCTGGCTTGGGTTAAAGATCTGACCGTCCTCAGGGGAAATGGCTTGGTCTATGTGGGGACAATCCTCATTGGCCAGCGCTGCTTTAGCTGCCTCACCGTTCACTTTGGGATCTTCAAACACACAAACAAGTAAGTAAGAAGAACATGTAGCCATGGCGATACACCAAGACTGATGCAAGAGAGGGCTTGTGCAGGACAGAGAGATAGGCAAGGGAAGGTAATGGGAAGCCCTGCTGGGGACATGGATGTTATGTATGCATGCATTTATTTATTTTGGGGTTGCGAGCATACTCATTCAACAACAAAAGTAATATTAACATGTTATCCTGGTAACAGTATTTTATCAGTAGTTCTGGTCATATTTTATCTGCACTGCCTACACGATTCTGGGAAACAACACTCCAAAAATAAAAATAAAAAATGTCTGAAAAATACAAAATTTACTACACGTGCTTTTTCACTGGTTTAAATAAATTAATAAATAAGCACTAAAAATCCTGAAAGAACCCAGTAATTTAAGATGTCTTTGATCATTTTTATATTTAATGTGCAATTTAAGCACAATATACATATAGAAATAGTACAAATATTTTTAATAAATAGGTCTAGTTTCCATTTGCGAAATGTTTTTTTCCCCATCATTTTCCATCTGTTATTCGTAATCTAAATTAACAACCAAATTATTTTTATTTATTTATTTAATTATTATTTAAACTTGTGAGCATGGTGCTAGCAACACCAAGGTCATGGGCTCAATTCCTTAGGAAAGCATAAACTGATCAAATGTATAGCATAGATGCAATTTAAGTAATTTTTTTATATTTGATAATGGCTGCAAAATGCATAAATTATAATAATATAATCTAATTGTATCCAACTTTTTTTACCCACATATGAATTGTATGGGAATAAATTTAGCTATGCATTGGTTAACATTAAAAAAATTTCCTAGTACTGCAAAAAAAAAAATCTCTTCTGTTTTCAGCAATAGCAGGGTGCAGCTCTAGTTTTTCTCCAAAGAAAGGGAGAGGAGCACTGAATTATAGCCCCCAGCCCCGGTATAATATATAGAAACAGCTCATGGCGACTAGCCTGTTCACCTGTGAGCTCTCTGGCAGCCAGAAGCTTCTGCTCACTCAATTTACACCTCATCGATCAGACCTGCGAGAAGGGTAGCGCTGCCAGAGCTCCTCAGGGGAAAAAGCACTGTGAATATCTCCCACCTGGATTTTCCATTGTATCGCCAACACTGATTCATGCATGCTCTAACTAACATATCACTATCAACAAAAAGAGCATCTATCAGCAACTACGGCAGGCTTCAACTTTGTGGTTATTCAAATGGGACGTGAGTCCTGTTGGTAATATTAGAGTGGCTACATTTCATTATGGTCTATTGATAGATAGTACAACATGCACACCCTGTAGACGTAGACACATATACACTATGGTTTACATTAACATTGTAACTCTACAAAATATTGATACCTTCTTAAAGGGATAGTTCACCCAAAAACAAAGTGAAAATTCTGTCATCATTTACTCACCCTCATGTTGTGCCAAATCTGTGTGACTTATTGTGGAATACAACAGGATATTTATACATACTGGACATCAGGGGCGGGATGGGAGGGATGGGGGGATGTGGGAGCAGTGCCCTTGTG